CCCAGAGATGGGTTGCGGCTGGAAGGGCATCCGCTGCGTAAAAACTTGCTGGATAACTTGGTGGTTCATTCCGCTGTGGCGACCCCGGATTAATAAAGGGACTAAGCCGACAAAAAAGAAATGAATGAAATATGAATTGATGTATACTTTAAAAAACTTAAATCAAATTGAAATTATTATTGTTTTTGTCAAATAAAATGTTTTTCTAGAGTCATCCACCATAACTTTGTGGCTCAAAAATGTCGGTTCAGGCATCATTTTGGCACTGTTACAGTTTTAAAAGTATCGATTTAGCACCGGTAGCGAACTAATAACCCCAACCCAAGTAAATAACGAGTACATTTTCAGTTTTGGGTAAACTATTCCTTTAAATCATTATAAAATACTAAAAAAGACACTAGTTTGTATTCTGAAACAAGAAGTTAGCTCAGCCTTAAATGAACCTACTGAGCCCTAGATTTACCAATCAGAACCAGTGATGAAAACCAAACAGAGAAATCTGAACCAATCCAACACCCCCAGTTATGACAGAACATCGAATATACCCACAACACACTGCTTGGCACAGAGACGTGTGGACAGAAGAGCAAGGAAGTGCTTCTCTGTCTGAGCACAGAATACATAATTCAACCATATGGAGCATTGGCGGCAGTCCAGCTCAAATCTGCTCCGCGTTACAGGACGGGGGTGTTTTGTGGAGGAAGGCTCTGTCTCTAAACAGCGCTGGCGGTCGCTGGAAGTCAAATCACTTTTCATGGTTGAGGCTCGAGTATCAGGTGGATGAAATTGGTTATGAAATTAAAGGGACGGAGCTCTAAATAAGGCGCTGCTAATCTCTCAAAGGTCTTTCCAGAAGAATAAAACAAGGTAACCCAATAATACTCAAACATCTCTTTGTAGATCTATAGAAGACGATGATATCGAACCAACAAAGGATTGAGGGCTTTGCAAGCTGATGTGCTCCATTATTCCTTATTCTGGTGGAGTCTTTCTATATCTAATGAAGCAGCGAGTACATTCAGAGCAAAAGAAAGCAACAAAAGGCAGAAAAACTGGCAAATCTTAATGATTCAGACAGAAGCTGCTATAGTGACATTAGCTTAGACTGATCTTTATACACACATAAAGCTGCCTGTGACAGCAAAACAGCCAACTGAAGCAGATGGACCCTGAAAGAGCTTTTTTTTTCATAAAGACCAAAAGAGCTAAAGATTATCGCGAGCATAATGCATATGCCATCTCTTTGTGTTTGAATAAGCATCACTGTGGTGGTGATCGTGAAATTCTTCCGCATCATGAACTTGAAATCTGTTAAACACAAAACGTAATGCCAATCTATTCTCTGAGAGGTTTGAATCCGCTGAGATTTGTTTAAGAGGGTACAGATCTGATGCATTTAAATTCTATAATCCTTTGGTTAATGACTGCATTTTACATAGAAACACTGAATGGAATCACAAAGGTGACAAGAATCGGGCATTGTTAGAGGCCTGCTAAGAGAGATAGGCCAGATTGCGGCCCCTTGGGTCGATAAGAGCCAATCTCAGGTACATCCACAGTGAGCCTTTACTCCACTCACCTGTTTTAAGATAAATGGGGAGCCTGTTAAACAAGTTCGGGGATGATTTTCAATCCAGGTCATGTGAAAATTAAAAAAAGAAAACGCTTAGCGCGGCTTAAAATGGCTGCTGCTCTAATGAAAAGGACAAAATTTATGTTGCAACATAAATATTTCAAAATAAAAGAAATTAAGCAGCACTGGGATTTCTGGTTTTAAATGCGCAGTACTGCACTGCATTTAAAATCAGCTGCATTTGTTACAGGAAATCTGGAAATACGTAATGATGCAATGTTCATATCGATAAAAAAAACAAATTGCACAGTGATAAATATTTTAGAATGATGTTTGAGACCATGTTGTTTTATCTTTTAAAGCAACTGAGAAAAAAGCTATAATAATGGAACACATAACTTGTCTTTCATTGACAATACACTTGTTTTGTTCATGTTCATGTTTAAATCTGCAAAATAAACTACACGAAGTATTTAAAATCTATTTGAAATTACTGCCTGACGTTTGACCATATTTCGAAAGTTGTAAATAATGAAAATAACGACTATTTAAATCAATGAAACACTACTACAAGGCATTTTTACAAAATAAATAAATAAATAAATAAATAATAAATAAATAAACAAACATAATCTTGTTGCACTACTACACTTGATTTTGGTTTTATTGTCAAAAAAAAAAAAAAAAAGAACACGTGTTAAATCAGAATCTGAAATATTTTAAGGCATACTTCAAAAAATAAACATGATTTAGTATTCAAAAATGTTTTGTTTTAATTTTTTTAACAAATTGGTCTTAAACTTAATATTTTTCAGATTTTCATAGTATGTGTTTTAATTCTGGTACTTTTACCATAAACCGACATATCTACTATTTAGGTATAGGTTGATATTTTAGAAATTATGGGATGTATTGACAAAAAATCCATGAAGTCTGTTAACTAGCGACATTAGGAGTTAAGAAATGCAATGCAAAAGTTTTTTTTCTTGGTGGGGCAGTTAAGGAGTTAACCTATTAAAGTCCTAAATATTAAAGTATTAAAGGATTCCACCCTGTACATGCAGAGGTGTAAACGCAAAAGATTAGTATCATTTTAAAAGAAAACCCTTTGAATTTTCAAAAAACACTGTTGAAAGTGATAAAAATTATTGTATTTGTTGTCTGTTCTATAATAAATCCCTCAAAAAAGAAGTGTTTTTTTTCTGTAAACTCAAATTTGAAAGGATACCTTTTAGGTTTTGTGTTGTTGCTGTAATTCATTTTGTTGGTTCCTGCTCATGTCAGTAATCATAGTAAAAAAGAAAAATGTCTCTATCATAATCTATGCAAAAGGTATTCTACTCCAACTGATGAGAGAACTGAATCACTTGGGGGGTATTAAGACGGTCCGGACCTTTAAAATGTAAAGAATGAAGAAGTAAATGACATCACGGACCAAGAACCAGGTCTCAGAGTTTAGGAGGTCAACTTATCTTTTTTGTATTGTAATTACGTTGTTATCTTTTTGAAATGTCATGTTTCTCTACGTTCATAAAGCTCAAACAGTCTGCCAAAGAGAAATAGAAATGCAGCTTATAAATGCAGTGTACAGTTTTTCAACAGCTAAAAGCGTTTGCCAAATCCATAAATGTATATATACCCCAGAGTGTAGTTAAGAACTTGACATGCAACATTTTATTGTTATTATTTATCATTTTATTTTAGGTCAACGAAGCCACATTTTTTCCCACTGCATATCAAATTCATAAGACGTTTTAATCTACATTCCAGAACTCCACAGAATGTTAAAGCATTACAGACATCTTCATAGATGCTATATGAGAAACTGCCACAACAAATAAAATACATGTCAGGGTTAACAAGCACTTCGGACTGAATTTAGCATTCATTTAAGTTGAACATATATAATCAAATGCCCTAGCACTGAAAAATGTCTATAAATGGTTATTCCTAACCGGCACTAAGAAAAAAAAGACTGGAAAATCATCTCGGCATCATTCTATATGCATCAGCCTCTAAAATATTCTTGCCACATTCAAAATCAACAGAGCTGAATGAGGGGAATTATTATGTAATAAAGCATCAATCTTTGTTAACACTTTCCAGAAATGATGTCACAGATCTGAGCTGAGAGTGCATATCTGCAGCCAGACTCTTCTCAAAATGTTTACCAAAGCTAGGAGAAAAAAACATTCTGGGTAGCACACTTGGGAAATCAGTCAATATTCAATAAATATGCATGAGGACTACATGCAGAAGCGGCTGAGAGTAATTCCTCTAAATCAAGCCCTTGATCTCACTGAGAGATTAGGACACTTCTGCAACCATTTCACTGCTCCTATCTTGTCCTTGGTGACAAATATTGATGACGGTGGTGTTGTTGTACACAGCCTAACATGTGCTGACAGAATTCATAAAAAACTTGTTTAAAAAAAAGATATATCAGATGTGAAATTTGAGTCAATACTAATTTAATATGCATTATTAAAAACTCAATTTTAAGCTCAAAGAGTGAAATCAAGGCTAGTACTAGAGTGTCTCATTCTAAAAATCTGAGGGTTTACTTTAATCTTGGAACCAAATGCAAGCAATATTTATTTGAACCTAAAATGAAACGTTGAGACCTGAAGTTCAAGCACAACATCAACAACAATGGTCAAAAATAAGTCTAATTAAATAGTAATAGTAATTAAATAGTAATTCCACAGGAAAGTTGACTTCTGTACTTTAATAAATAACTAATTATATAAGAATTCAGACTGATGCTTTTTAGCTTCAGCTTTAAACCCACCACTCCACATTTGATGATGATGACGATAATAATGAGATGCATTAAATGTTTGATCTTCATCATTAGTTAAATGAATGCAAGAGAAAGTAAACAATGGCACATTTCTCACAAAGAAAGCTTAGTCATGGTAGACAACATATTTAATTGAATATGCAAATTAGGGATACGTCTCGCTGGCTAACTTGAAACAACTCTATTATGGTTGGAATGATAATTTCCAACAGGACAGAAGCAGTGTTAAAGTTATTGCTGAAAATAAAACTAACTATACTAATGCTAAGACAATAAAACTTTTTTAAAAAATTACCAAAAGAACAAAAACCTTTAGATTAGTGTTAACATAAAAATTCCAAATAAATAAAAACACAAAAATTTAGTTAAAAAAGTTCAAAATAACAATTAAAATGGAACTAACTTATCGAAAACTATAATATCCTTCAACAAAAGTTGACTAAGATCAGCATTGCTACCTCTAGTGAGAGGTCTGTAAACTGACTTTCCAGAAAGTCATCATCTACTAAATATGGTAACTACCTTGACTTCATTCTGGAAGATTGTCAGGAGGAGAATATTTACAGTTCTGTGGAGTATTCACCAACAGCGGTCAGATGTTAATGGTGCGGTGAATGCTCTTACCTTACGACCATCGCTGGCGTGGCAGTTGACGTTTAACGGCGTGAGCAGTGCCATGAGCTTCTCTTCATTTCCGCTCCTGAAGCAAAGCAGCAGTTTTTTAAAGAACAGGGGGGAACCGTAAAACAGAACAGGCTAACGCAGTGAATTTCACAGAGAAGGCGAGGGGTGAAGAGGAGTGAAGGATAAAAGGAGAGATGAGGAATAAAAGTCAGGGGAGAAGGAGCATGCAAGATAAACAGTATCAATCAGTTGTTACCTTCATGGAACATAAAGAAGAAACCCACAGATTGCACATTCAAGATTAATATATCACATACCTAGGAGAGGATACCCTATATAAAGTTCTTGCTGTAATTGGACTGAACCATGGCCTGGAGTTTCAGCCTGCAGCCTGTAGAGCAGTGGTCTCAAACTCAATTCTGGGAGGGCTGCAGCTCTGCACAGTTTATCTCCAACCATCTCCATCCCATACCTGCTTAATAGTCTCTAGTAGTCCTGAACAGCTGGATTAGTTTGATTAGCTGTGTTTGGTTAGGTTTGGAGCATATCTCTGCAGAGCTGCGGCCCTCAAGGAATCGAGTTTTAGGGCTATGATGTAAAGGTTTGACTCATCAGCAACTGCCAACAAATCCTTCACATCTTGCCAGCACCTCCAACTATGACAGTGCTGGACTTGCCAGGCCTGTCACTGGTCTAGCCAAAGCATCATGCCAACCAGGGCCTGAGATTGGACTGATTCCACTCAAATCAAAAGCTGAGGCAAGAAGACTTATTAGTTTCTGAACAATGATGTCTCGTTCCTGTTCTGGAATGTGCTATAGAAAATGTCGGGGTCTTGCAGGCTTTTGTAGAGAAGATTTCCTACAGGTCAACCAATTGCCAAACCCTAACAAATTAGTAGAGTTTGCTCCTCCCTGGTTCCTCTAGTCTCCTCCTGCCAGTAAGTACAGATAACTGGCTTCAGTGAACAACAGAAGGTCCTTCATTTAAATGCACACTCTGCCACCAGCAGAGGGAAATAAGACTGGCTAAGAGATTACAACTGGGAAGACGGGCTGAGTATTGGGAGAGTGTCATCAATCTTTTTCATGCTCTTGTAGATGCATCCCAGGCTTCAGGAGATTACCACTAAAAGCAGCACAGGCCAAGCAAGACTTCCAAGTCTATTCGATTCGCCAATCTTCCATTCCACAAAACTCAAACAAGTCTCAATACACAGGGTTACTCTTGCCATCTTTGGGAGGGGTTGGGTGGACAAGATCAACTTAATTCCACAGCAATGAAGCCCCCTGTGATCATATGTGTTCCTAACGATCTTTCGTCCTGACGTTGGGGAGAATTACAAGGCCTTTGTAGTTCCTTTCTCTCTTGATCATTAAAACAACAGGAGTCCTGATTTGTATCCATGCTCCAGGCTATGCCTGAAGGCAGGGGTATGAAAAGGGGGGGGGCAATGCCAATGGAGATGTAGACCAGAGCATAAGAAGGAACGTCTTTTCTCTGTGATGATGGTGAAGACTGCTGGGATTGCCTGCGCGTCACGTGTTTCCAAAGGTTGTTTATCCATTCCTATATGTCTCATGGTAACCATACAGTGTTTGGTTTAATGGAGTTGCCCAGGAAAACAGGTAGGAATTGAATTTCTGTGTTTATGTCAAATCCTCCTTCTCTGGTTTTACCTGAAGCACTCAGAAACCAATTAAAACTGAATTCGCCGCATGGAATAAAGTATTCTGCCCATGGCATGCAGCTAAATTGAAACTCTCGGGCTGTCCTCTGTGCAGGAAGCGGACTCCTTCAGGCCATCACATGTAAACATGAAAATGCATCTACTGAGTCAGACATTCCCGGCCCTGACGGCACCTTCTCTGACACATGCCTTAATTCATGTCCATGTGCACAGACAAAAGAAAAACAGTGACTATGGAAACGGTAGAAGAGAGGGAGGGAAAGAACGGAATCATGGGAGAGCGGGGAATGAGATGTAGAAGGGCTGAGAAGACATGTACTCACCTCGCAGCTTCCAAGAGTTCGTCCTTCTTGTATTCTCCTAAGTGATTACAAAAAATCATGGTGTCAGGGGCAGACAGGATGAAGGACGTACAGCAGCAGCAAGAAGCCAGAGTAACTAAGGAGCAGTGGACCGCCGGCAGCCCCACACAGACAAGCTCATGCACACACGCGCACAGGCATCAGTGCATCAATGCTGCCTTGCTTTTCTCTCGTTCTCTGCCTGTCTCTCTCTTCTGGTGGTGGTGTTGCCGAGCACCAACCCCTCTCGCCTGATGAAACCGTGACGTCGAGCTGATTGTGGACGCAACATCGGCAGTGTCTTAGATACGACGGACGAACTGACGCATATCCCTGTTCACTCCACAAATTAAATGGCTCTCTTTCTCAGGCGGACAGACAGCACACACATATACAAATACACACACCCCTCCCCTTGTATACAGTGAGCCTGATGCTTTCCCTCCTCTGTCTATTTTATGTTTGCATAGGAGGAGCCGTTGCCGTGATAACACAAGATAAGGGGAAAGGGGGGGGAAATATGTAATAAACAAATGCTGCCCGCCTCGCTCTCGCCCCCCTACCCACAACACCCGGCCTCTCAGCCAATCAGAGAGACTCAACTAATTCAGCTGTGATTCCTCCCCACCCCCACATGTGCTCGCTCTCTTTCTCTCTCTCGTTCTACCGAGGCTTGTGGAGAAGTGAGGAATAAAGGGGGAGGATGCAAAAAGACAGGGCAAAGAGGGAGGGAGCAGAAAAAAAGGCATGTGTAAATTCTGTAGAGGTGGATATCATGACATATGGGCTGCATGCACAGGGGGTGTTTGAACAAAAATATGGCTAAAAGAAAATGCTGTGAGACTGGCTTGTTTGCCGTTTTGTAGCAGTCGCTAACAAAAGACTGTGAATCACAGAGTGGGGAAGGATGGCAATAAAGCAGAAAGCAGCATGTCTGGAAGACTCATTACATCCCTGTGTGCTCCGTCAGGCCATCGGTTGTGTGTTCTCACTGAGAGAGCTCGGCCAACCTCAGAGCCTGACAATCCCCCCACTGAGAGATACTAGTGGAGCACAGTGCACAAAAACAAACACATTTTGGCTTTAAAAACGGTCTGGCCAATAATTGCAGGACATTAATATTTTTACTGGCCATGAAACTGTATTTCACTTACATAAATAAACATAAACATTTCAGTCTACATGACAATGGATTATTTAGTTTGCTTTGCTTGTATATTAATGAAAAATTGATTTACTGCTTTAAGGTTTACCATTTTCTTTTCGGTTTCAAAGTTAAACAAGATTTAAGCGCTTAAATACTTTTCACACACTAATGCTAAACTAACATATAAGATAAAATATGTATTTTTCTAGTTAAATAGGTGATATTTTGTACTGTTGTTACAACAAAGAGAGAAAAAGTAAAAAGAAGGCCTGTTCTTGTCTTTTAACTGTGGGAATCCATTCAATAAAATGATTGAATTCAATATTTCAACTTATTAACTTGAACATCCACTAGTTTTCTTATAAAAATTCCTTAAACTTATCATTCAGAAATACTGCTTCAGTCTGAGTTGCTTTCTTTTATTTAACACACAAGAAGCTACTTCAAAGTATGAATGGTTACTTCAAAGAATGTTGGAAATCTGCTGCCACTGACTTATTTAGCATTTTCCTTCTTACTGTGAATGGCAATACTGGGCATGGGCTGGTATAAGCTTCTGACCATATGATAACCTTGGATAAAAATACCATGGTTTCATGGTATTGTCATTACTGCACTAAAATAGGATCTTTTTAAATGTCTGGGTAAAAAAACAAAACACTTTCCCCTATTAAACAAAATACATTTTATTTTAGAAAACATGTATAATATTTTGCAACAGTACACACGTCAGGCTAAATAATTAAAGTGAATTACTGACTTCTGCTGTCTTCATTAGGTTTCAATAACACTTGACAAAACGTTTGGAAAAAAAACTCAGGAATGATATAACAGAACATTTTTGTGGTTTGAAAGCCTTGACTTTTCCAAACCACGTTAAACCTTGAAACTGGTTATCATCCCATGCCTAGTCAATACCTACTGGTTTCCGATATTTTTCAATACTTTTATTCTGTGTTCAACACAAGAAAAGCTCATTTCTGTTTAGCATCACTTAAGGGTGAGCAAAAGGTGAGTAAAGTTATATTTTATGGTGAACTATCCCTATAACCAAGAGTGATGAATAGTTGTTTACTGTTCCACAATGCCAATGTATTATTGTTACCAAATATATATTCCTTGCTAAAAAGTTGAATAAATTGTTAAATATAATTTTTGTTTGACTTTAAAAATGCAATTTAGGGCTGCACAATATTGGAAAAATCTGGCATTTTGATATTTTGTTTTTCAGTAATATGGACAAATTGAGGAATATAAACAAAAACAATGTCCCAATGTATTTCCTGCTTTACATTTTCCATTTCTAGCTTCTGAGAATCCAAAAAGAGCCACATATTGATAAATAGTGTTATGATAGCTGTTTTAAAATCAAGATCAGATTGAATTGCCTTTTGTTGCAGTTTAGTTTGTAATAGTACAGTAATAGTTTGATAACCAGCAGGAAATGTTCATGGGCCAATGATATGACCACTTTGAAATGGTCTATATACCAGATGGCATGAATAGCCATCTGAAAGAAAAGAAATCATTCATTTAGATTGACTGGGGTGATTTTGTAAAGATGTAAATAATGTATAAAGAAAAATAAACAAATAGTAAGCAAAAAATAATAATTACAATAGAAGACAAAAGGGACAATAATTAATAATAAACCATAAAAATAAGTATTCTGGAAATTCAATGCAGAAATTGAATAATTAGATGTCAAATGTAAAACAATACTGCAGTGTAAAACAAAATAATTTTACGTTTTGTTTTTTTTTCAGCAGCTGGGGTGTTGGGAAAAAAACGTAAAATAACAGCCATTAAATTATACAAATCTACCATAAAATAATGGACATTAAATTACAGAAATGTCCTTAAATGTACATTTCTGGTAAATTTCTGTCATTTAGCGTGTTCATTTAGAGTTAATTTCTGTAATTTAACAGCCATTATTTTACAATTTTACTAATACATTTTTTAGTTAAATTATTCTTCATTAAAATTGCAAATGTTGTACTTTTTGTGTACAAATGATCTTGAAATGCCTTTAAAACACATGCCAATGATAAACTTTCACAATAGTTATAATTTGGTGGTGCTGATCAATGATAACCTCAACTCAACTCAATGTGACTATAGCAGACAAACATATTAAAATATTGATGTTGAAACAATAGATTGTGCAGACCTAATGCAATGTTACATTTCTTAATAAAATACTTTTTTTTTTTTTAAATTGCATGTAATTCTTGAATAATGTTAACTCTGGACCCTTCATGCTCAAATAACAGGGTTTTCCACCTCAAATAATAAAAAAAAAAGTTATAAAGATGCTCATGCTGTCTGACTGATGATCAATTCCAAAGCCCAGAGATAGACTAAATGACCCGAGTTATAGAGTGCGTTTAATGGATATCATAAATTTCACTGTGCATTACAATCTAAAACACAGAGTGAGAAATGGAAACGGCAACACCTGATGACGGCAAAATCATCCTGGAATGAAATCTGGTCACGTCCCTTTTTGGTATTCTACAAGTTTTTCTTGCTTAGTCAGTATTAAGCCACTGAATGTCCCCAGGACAAATCACGTCCAGAACGTTAAGTGACATTATTGACAGGAAGGAGAGCTTTACGGAAAAAAAGAGAAGAGAGGTATAGAAGAAAACACCACAGATGGTGAAGCAGAAAATATCACGACTTCAGAGACTATTAATGAGCTGCCTGCCAAGTTTAGCAATCTTTCATAACAGCATCAGAAAGACCATTAGTCTAGTTGTAGAGCTGCAGTCGGACGTCAGATGCTCTCTCTGTATGAAAACCAAGCATGTTTACCCAAACACTATCCAGGGAAGATTTACCTATAAAACATATCTAGATACAGTTGAAGTCAGAATTATAAGCCATTCTGTATATTTTTTCCCAATTTCTGTTTAACAGAGAGACAATGTTTTCCGACACATTTATAAATATAATAGTTTTAATACAGGGTTTCTGCACATTTCAGCAAGTTAAATTTACGACTCAAGACATTAAGACCAATAAAAATTAAATTTTATACTCATACAGGACAAAACGCTAAGAAGTTTTTCCCAAATGGCCCAGCTGGAAAGTATTTGGCCCATCAAACTATTTAAAAAAAATTTAATAAACATATTAATGCAATAATAATAAATTAATAATAAAAAATAATAATATTTTAGTTTATTCTGAGCAAAAATATTTTAAATATTTTGTCTAATCAAGCAAGCTCTAGTTGTATACATACCCTTTTTTTCTCTCAACATAACCTTTCTTTAAAAAAAATTAATACTGTGTTAAAAAATAACAGTCTGCTTAGGTCAGTGGTAAATACAGAGAGGACTTTTTAACAAATGTTATTGAAGGTAAATAATTAAACCATTATGGTAAAAAGAGTTAAGGATGACATTTTTAAATGAAATTTTTTTTTTTTTTTTGAGATAGATTGGGGTAGCTATACATGGACATGAGAAAAGTAAGACCTGTTTAAACAATATTTAAGATCTAAAACAAAATATTTAAGTAAATTTGAGACTTTACCGCATTTTAAAATTTAGTTTTTGAGATTGAAGACTTAAGATTTTTTAAGACCCCCATGAACCACCAACTTCTAATGACTTATTTCTTTTATTTACTAAATATTTGTCAAGGTACTGGTATACAGATTAAAGTGACATTTAAAGGCTTAACTAGGTTAATTAGATTAGGCAAGTTAGAATAGGCAAGTTAGGGCAATTAAGTCATTGTATGTTTGTTTGGTTAAAAATACTGACCTTAAAATTTATTTATTTATTTTTTATTCTAGTTTAAATAAAATAATTAAGACTTTCTCCAGAAGAAAAAAATATGAGAAATACTATAAAAAA